CCAGTGGCAGCTGCAAGTTCAGAGAGAACTTGGGCAGGGAACCCACCATGCCCTCTCAGTGCCTCTCACCCCCATCGTGACCAACTTCCTCCTCATTGCAACACACACCCACACACACACACCCAGCTTGCCATCGTAGGAACCAACTCCTGGGGGCCGAGGTCCCTTCAGCCCCCCCAAAAAATATTTGAAGGGGCCACCCCCCCCCAGAGTTGATGGGCATTCAAATGGTTGCATGCACCAAGTCTTGTGATCAAGGCCTCTCTCTCCTGGTATGTCCCACGGAGGACCTCATGGTCTTCAAATAAAAACATCTTGGAGGTCCCAGGCCACAGGGAGGTTAGGCTGGCCTCGACCAGAGCCAGGGCCTTTTTCGACCATGGCCCCGATCTGGTGGAACGCTCTGTCACAAGAGACTAGGGCCCTGCTGGACTTGACATCTTTCCACAGGGCCTGCAAGACGGAGCTGTTCCACCAGGCCTTTGGCCAAGGCACAGTCTGACCCCTCTCTCCTTCTGTCATCCTCATAGAACTCTAGTCCAATGGTTGCCATTAATTTGATTCTGAATTGATTTTAGAATGTATTTTAATTATTTGACTATGTGATTTTATGTACACTGTGCTATTTTCACTTGTTGTTAGCCGCTCTGAGCCTGGCTTTGGCCAGGGAGGGTGGGATACAAATAAAATTTGATGATGATGAAGATGATGCAGGGTAGAGCTTACCTGCCCCCCCCAATGTTTTATTCAAGTTGGCACCCCTGCTTGCCATCCAGGGAGACAATGACCAGGTAGGCAGCAGCAACCACTGCTCTCCCTCTCCACCACCGCCATTATCTAGACCAGAGCGAAAGGGAGCTACACCATTGAAGCCAGGTGCAGTCAGTGGTGAAGAGAAGGAGGGTCAGGTGCTCTTGGCAGTGTCCCCTGCCCTGCTGGGAGAGGCCCAGTTGTGCCGACCTTTGTCGCCAGCCCTGAGGATCCTGCTTGTTTGCAACTGGGGCCATGCTGGCTCTCCCAAAACAGACTCTGTTTCTCCCAATGCATCTTGTCTTAAAAGGTAAAGGTAAAGGTACCCCTGCCCGTACGGGCCAGTCTTGACAGACTCTAGGGTTGTGCGCCCATCTCACTCAAGAGGCCGGGGGCCAGCACTGTCCAGAGACACTTCTGGGTCACGTGGCCAGCGTGACATCGCTGCTCTGGCGAGCCAGAGCCGCACACGGAAACGCCGTTTACCTTCCCGCTAGTAAGCGGTCCCTATTTATCTACTTGCACTCGGAGGTGCTTTCGAACTGCTAGGTTGGCAGGCGCTGGGACCGAACGACGGGAGCGCACCCCGCCGCGGGGATTCGAACCATGGACCTTTTGATCGGCAAGCCCTAGGAGCTGAGGCTTTTACCCACAGCGCCACCCGCGTCCCTGCATCTTGTCTTAGATTGTTTTAAAATGGAAATCCGTGTCATCAGCCACTTTTGCATTAAAGTTTAGGCTCACAAGCCCAGCCAGCTCACATAGCTAGCCTGGGAAAGGCCATTGGCAGACAAAGGTGTGGATTGTTGGTCATGAGCACATCAAAGTCCTTTTGTTGTTGTTTAGTCGTGTCCGACTCTTTGTGACCCTGTAGACCAGAGCACGCCAGGCAATCCTGTCTTCCACTGCCTCCCGCAGTTTGGTCAAATTCATGTTAGTAGCTTCAAGAACACTGTCCAACCATCTCGTCCTCTTCTCCTTGTGCCCTCAATCTTTCCCAACATCAGGGTCTTTTCCAGGGAGTCTTCTCTTCTCATGACGTGGCCAAAGTACTGGAGCCTCAGCTTCAGGATCTGTCCTTCCAGTGAGCACTCAGGGCTGATTTCCTTATGAATGGATAGGCTTGATCTTCTTGCAGTCCATGGGACTCTCAAGAATCTCCTCCAGCACCATAATTCGAAAGCATCAATTCTTCGGTGATCAGCCTTCTTTATGGTCCAGCTCTCACTTCCATACATCACTACTGGGAAAACCATAGCTTTAACTATACGGGCCTTTGTTGGCAAGGTGATATCTCTGCTTTTTAAGATGTTGTCTAGGTTTGTCATTGCTTTTCTCCCAAGAAGCAGGCGTCTTTTAATTTCGTGACTGCTGTCACCATCTGCAGTGATCATGGAACCCAAGAAAGGAATATCTCTCACTGCCTCCACTTCTTCCCCTTCTATTTGCCAGGAGGTGATGGGACCAGTGCAAAACAGAGATCCCCAAGGTTATCAAAGGGTAGAGAAAGGTGTAGAATTCCAGCTTCCATGAGTATGAAAAAAGGTGAGCAGGCAGGCTATGCCCAGAGGGGGGAAAGTGTTGTTTTACAAGAGGCTTGAGTTTTTGGAGAAAGGTGTGCAGGAAAGAAGGAGGAGAGCAAAGGCAGCCCTCCATGAGCTGCTGGGCAGGTCAGGACTCTATGACTCTGGCTGGCAGCGGCTGAGGCGGCACTGGGAGATGGGGAGCCAGGATTGACAGCTGCTTTGGACTCAGACTTCCTGAAGCTAACGAGAGACACTTTTGGAGTGTGATATTCTGCACCCTCTCCACTGAAGACTTCCAGGTGTAAATATGTGCAGTGCTCCCCCCCCCAATAAATTCAATTCCCATTTGGGTCATCCATCAATGCTGGGGACTGCTTTCAGGTATAGTTCAGAGATTTTCACACCCATTCAGTACTACTAGTACTTCATTCAAACAAAATAATTCATTCTAAGTTCATGCCATGCACTGGGAGTTATGGAGGGGGGGGCTCCTAAATTCAAATTTAGCTCATGCTTTTCCACACACCAAAAGTTTCCAACTGGCAACACACCAAGTTCGGAGAATATTTTCTTCTTATTCCTCACCTTGAATCAGTAGCATGTCAGTAATGCTGAAGGAAGTGACAGGCTTTGATGTGCTGATAATGTGAGGAATCATGACGGCTTTGAGGCCAGATGTCCTGATAATATGAGAAAGTTCAGAGGCCAGGAGGAAGGTACCAGCCTACTCCACATCCTTAGGGGTTCCCCCTCCCCATAATGAGCTGGAATGTGAGGGTGGCATCTGGACTCTCCCCACAGCAGATAAGCACCAAAATGCCCCCTTCCATCAGAGCCTAAAATGCCCTTATCCCTGAACCCCCCACCCCAGCCCTACGATTTCAAGGAACTGATTCTGAGAGGAAGAAACCACCATTTCCATTTCTGGGCAAAACTAAATCAGAGCGCTGGAGAAGACATGCGAAGTAGCACCTACAGGGGAAAAGCGAAGCTCATTTTCATCCTAGTATCCTCCCACAACTCAGTACAGTGGTAACTCGGGTTACAGACGCTTCAGGTTACATACGCTTCAGGTTACAGACTCCGCTAACCCAGAAATAGTACCTCGGGTTAAGAACTTTGCTTCAGGATAAGAACAGAAATCGTGCTCCGGCGGTCGGTGCAGCAGCAGCAGGAGGCCCCGTTAGCTAAAGTGGTGCTTCAGGTTAAGAACAGTTTCAGGTTAAGAACGAACCTCCAGAACGAATTAAGTACTTAACCCGAGGTACCACTGTATAATCGTCAAATTGTTAACCGTGATTCCAATTTCAGTTTGATTTGTAAATGCTATCCTAGCTTCTTCTTCTTTAATCATAATTTCGATTTCTGTAGAATCATGGAATCACAGATTTGTAGAGTCGGAAGGGACTCTGAGTGTCATCTAATCTCAACTAGATCATAAATGACAATGTGGCCATCAAATATCTACAGTGGTACCTTGGTTTACGAACTTAATCCATTCCAGAAGTCAGTTCTTACACCAAAGAGTTCTTAAACCAAGGCGTGCTTTCCAATATATCCATTCAGACCAGGTCTCTCCATAGTTTTTAGTTTGGTAATGAGTTGTAATTCAGCAACTTCTCTTTCAAGTGTATTTCTAAAATTCTTCTGCAATAAGACAGCTACTTTAAGATCTTGTATAGAATGCAATTTGAAGCTCATTTTGGTCATCTATCCCTTTAAGAATCCCTTGCCCTTCCCTGTGGAACCAACTGGCCATAACATTCCTCAACAGTTATAAGGCTGAAGTATCTGACGAAGTGTGTATTACACACAAAAGCTCATACCTTGAAAACGTATATTGAGTTGATCTTTAAGGTGCCATTGGAATTATTAAAAAAGATTTTTTCATCTTGTTATTTATTATGACTATGACAGATCAACATGGCCTTCCACCTGAATCTGGTGTCATTCGTAGTTGACCTCTCCCACGCACAATGTCTTAGGCGACTTATTCCGGTTTTCAACTTCGACTTTTGATCTCAAAACGTTCTGTTTATCACAGCTGATTCCTCTGTTCGTCTTGATTGGAATCGGAGGGACCGGCCTGTGCACCATGCGCCTTGCTGATGTCAGGTAAGTGCCACCCCTCAGGGCAGGATCAGCCCTTGGCATGGTGCTGACAACTGCCATCCCTGCAAAACCACGTCACGTGCTCCCTGCCTCCCAGTGGCCCCTGGGTGTCCTTCACTGATGGATGTGAGGCAGCGCTTTTGAATGGGACCTCAGCTGGACTCCCATCTGTGGCAGCTGCCCACTACTTTACGCAACTCAGAATTCATCACAGGGATCCGTGGCCTGAGAGGATGGGAGTGAGCTTGGCTTCTTATCAGAAACGACACTGCCAATGAAGAGCGTCTGGGGACCCAGTGGCAGGGACTGGTGGCCTGGCTGGGCCAGGCTGATAAGCACCCTTCCAAGCTCCTTGGGGGCAGAGCTTTTGCCACTTCTTCAAGTGTTGCATCTTAAAGCGCAACCTGAATAAAATATGACCTGTTGTGCTCCAGAGGTAGAATAATAATAATAATAATAATAATAATAGTTATAAAACAAATGATAAAACTAGAGTAAAACATGAGCGTCAGCTTCTTAGCTTTAGAGTAAGAAAACCAACCATATAAGCATTGCCATTCCTCAGCCAAGTTGTATCCAAGGCATTGCAATGAGTGGTACAGCATAGCTAAAAGCGTATTTGGGAAGAGAGTAAAGCCAATGAACTGTCTGAACAGAAAGCACAAAGTCTATCAGGAACCTGTCATGGAGAAAGTGTAGGATTGGGTTGCCAGCATCGAGTTCTGTCCAGCACTGCCTCACCAACTTGCCGCTGTCTCTGGTGCAAGGCAGTGAGAAGCTGCCCTTGCATTTAGGTAACTGTGTGTTAACTGGCTTTAAAGGGATTTTACTTGGGGTACGGTGGCCTTTTTTTACATCCCACATTATCAAAGAAGTGTGCTCTTCTGGTGGCATTGAGGAGGCCATGATTGTTAAATTTGGTGGGAACCATGTGCCAAGAGTTGGGCAGAGCGTTTCGCTTTATGCTGTATGTTTTTCTTCTTCTTCCAAAGATGTACTCCTTGCTGCCTGCCTCTTGTCACGTTTCTCTGCCTGGCTGGGACAAAAAGAGCAACCCAGAGCCTTGGAACAAGCTGTGACCCAACGACCAGTACAAGGTATGGTAGGAAATACTTAACTAGGGTGATGATGCTGGTTATCTTATAGGCCAGGGATGGGGAGCCTGGTGTCCAGCAGAGATGGTTGGGACTCCAACTCCCATCAGCCCCATCCCTGAAATCTACGGAAGATGGGCTAATAATAATAATAATAATAATGGCCATTTGGTGGGAGGAATAATAAGCTTCAGCTTTGGAAGGTCTGGTGTGTGTGATCACAGCATTTGGGGTTGGACTAGATGGCCCTTGGGTTCCTTCTATGATTCTTCATTCTCTCCAGTTCAATCTTCTAAACTATGACTGAGTGACTTCCGGGGAGGCGCCTCAGGCAATGGCGGAATTCCTCTGATCGGGAGGAATTTGCTCCGTGGGAACTGGGTCTGGCCGCCACGGCGAAGGCGGAAACCCGCAAAAAATCACAGGTGGGAGAAGCCTGTGAGCGTGGGATTCGGCAGGCACCTTTTGCGCCTCCCCTACTCACGGGGAAACCCGGTTTTGGGGATCCGGAGCGATGTGGGGTGAGCGGCACGGTGCTTCGAATTGTCTGCTTCTTCCACGGAGCGAAGCCGCATAGCTGTTGTTGGAGAGCGCTGACTTTTTCCTGTGGACAATTTGACTCTAAAGTAATTACCCGTGAGTAGAGCTGAAGCGGGAGAATTGGATGTTTAAACGTTTAATTTGACATCGTAACGGGGAGGTTCAAAACAGGAAGTCCGCCTTCCCCTTTTGTAAATAGACTGAGGCAACAAGGTTGCAAGCTGAAGTCTTGTGCAAAAGCCTTGTGCAAAAGACTAAATTTCCATCGGTAAAGAACATTAAAGAACATCCCTTGGAGGCAGGAGAAGAGGGGGGGAAGTTGTGGCCTGAGTATGCCTGCAGGAGAGAGTGAAGGGAGCTAAAATACCGCCGCTCTGACCCTGGGAACGGGCTGCTAGCAGGACTGACATTTTGTGGAATGTTCATTGACAGTCTTTAGAACGTTTATTGACAGCTAGCTAAACAAGAGAAATACATTGTTTCTACTGTCTCCGGCTGCTCTTAAAAAAAAGGAGTAAAAGTAACTGAAAGTAACTAAAAATTGAAACTAACTTTGGATTGGCTGAACTGTGTTTAAAAAGAGGATACTACTGACTAACGCAAATAGAAACTGTTTCCCCCTAGTGGAAGCCTTTGAAACTGGTTGCATTACAAGAGCTGGGCTAGGGGAATTACCAGCTGCAAGATAAAAGTTGTGAGACTCTGGGATTGACCTTGAATCTTTTGAGTGTTATGGCAAATGGAAAGGAAAAAATAGATCAGTCAACTGCGGAAAAAACATTAAGGTCTGGGAGGACTTGGCAGCAATCCAGGAGAGGTTCAACACAAGGCCTCCCTGCCTCCTCGGCAGCTGCTTCTGCACCAGTACACTCCAAATCAAGAGGAATGTCGACAGAAGAGGCCTTAGCGGTTGCATTAAATAAGATAAATGATTCATTGGAACAGCTTGACTGGCAGAATCCGAGACCAGGGAGAAGAATCGGTGGAAGAAGACTGGAAAAAGTTTAAAGACTATTTACAGAAATACTGTAAAATTAATGAATGTTAGAAAAATGTTGGAATGAAGTTATATGGCTTTAGTAGAAATGTTGTAAGGAATTAAGTATAGATAGATTAACAGAGTATTAAAGGGAAAAATAAGGTTAGAATGTGTTAAGATAATGATAGGATAGAAAACAGAGGAAGATGGAAAGGAATTGCTGAAGATGGAAAGGAATTGCTGAATTAATAGAAGTGGAATACAAAAAGGGAGGTGTGAGGAGGTCGTGGAAATAAGTGAATGAAAGATAAGATATTGAAATTGGATTGTGTTTTAAGTGGTTTTTGTTTTATTTTGTTAGTTGTTTGTGTTAGTGTTTTGTAGTGTTTTTTGTATTGTAATGTATTATTGTATTGGTGTTTTTTTTTGTTTTCTGTAGTGTTGTCTTTAAACTGTTGAAAAATTAATAAATATTATTTTAAAATTAAAAAAAAAAACTAAACTCTGACTGAGTAAGCAGGATAGATCCCTGAGTTCCTGCCATTGACTTGTGGTTCTTCCTGCAAAATTGCTTTTAAGCCCATTAAAGTTGAATGATTTGAGATCCTTTCCTGCCACTTCCGAGTCACCTTCAATGGTAGCCCCACGTAGAGCGCATGGTAGTAGTCCAAGCTGGAGATAACGCTTAACTGTCCTGCCCTCTTTCAGTTCTATGCGGTGAATGCAGACTATGACAAGCTGAAAAAAGGAGCGCCCAGATATCTGAAGAGCAAATGAATCTGGGCGCTATAGTTTGGGTCTTTGGGTTTGATGCTTTTGTAACTGGATCTGTAATGGCTTTTAGTCAAATACAATAAATGATTGATTGATTGATTGATTGACTGACTGATTGACTGAAAAATGTCCCCCTCCTGCCCCCTTGGGTGTCCAGTGTGGCCTTCACAGATATAGACACAACATGGGGGAGGGTGTTTTGGCTGCTGAGCTGTGCCCCCCCATTGTGAGGGCTGAGGGTGTGATGGTGATGCCTCCCTAGCTGCTGCCATTGTCTGTGGGTTGACTGTGATGCCACAAACACATAAATGTGGGCCAAGGCACAAGCCTTGGCAGTTGCCCTCCCCAGAGAGAAATGGGCAGCTCGGTGGCACTCAGCCCTGGTGGTCTCCTGCTCCGTGGCAGCAAGCTGACAAGCGGAAGGAGGCAATCGCCTGGTGCTGGGATGCTGTGGAGCAAGTAGAAGGCAAGTACAAAGTTTACTTGCTGGTGGGATCGCTACCTGAAGGCGACGGATATTCAGCTCTGAAGCTGGTTGATGTCTGGCAATGGACCTGGCGAGGCTGCAGCTGGTGGGTGGTTGTTGGAAGAGTTTGCGTTCAGGCTAGTGGATGCCGTGAGGCTACGCTGGCTGAGATGGATGCAAAGTGGTTTGGAAGCCTTGTTTGTTAACAGGCAGCCAAACCGAGGAGGAGTCTGGGGGGACGCTGTTGGATGGGGGCCATCCCACTCAACTGTTTGCCTTTGCCTTACAGGGATGTCCGGAGCCGGTGAGGTTTTCCTCAAGTCCAGCCTTCAAAGTCATGAAGAGAACCGCAGGACGTCCCTATTTACATTGGAGAAATGAACGTGAAATACTGGCAGCGAACAATGGACAAGGCTGTGGCCAGACCTGAGAGAAGGAGCTTTGAAGGAAGACTGCAGGCGGACATCTGCTGCATTGCAAGTGGGGAGAGAGAAGAAAATGAGAGAGGAAACATTAGGCCACATTAGTCCATTGGAAGTGCTATGAAGACGCTTTGAACAGGAATGGCTTCCCCTCAGGGATTCTGGGAACTGTAGGTGGTTAAGGGGACAGAGAGTTGTTAGGCGGGTTAGGGTTAGGGTTAGGAGTAGGGTAGGGGTAGGGTTGAGTTGGGGTAGTGTTAGGGTTAGGGTTCCCTTCCTGTCAGGGAACTCCTGGAATTGTAGTTCTAGTTAAGAGTTATGGGGTAGTGGTAGGGTTCCCTTCTTTTCAGGGAACTTTGGGAAATGTAGCTCGGGTTAAGGGTTAAGGTGTAGGGTTAGGGTTCCCTTCTTGTCAGGGAACTCTGGGAAATGTAGCTCGGGTTAAGGGTTAGGGGTTAGAGTTAGGATTAGCATCAGGGGTAGGGGTAGGGGTAGAGTTCCCTTTTTTGCCAGGGAACTCTGGGAATTGTAGCTCTTGGAGGGGAACAGGGGGTCTCCTAACAACTCTCTGCACCCTTTTCAAACTATAGCTCCCAGATTCTTTGGGGGAAGAAGCCATGAGTGTTTAAAGCGGCTTCATAGCACATGAAATGGTGTGGATGTGGCCCTGGCCTCCCTCACCCCACTGCCCCTTATTCTTCAGGAATCGAAAATATCTCCCCATGCAAATCTCTCGGAAACAACGTATTTCATCTGGAAAACTTTTTAATAAAGATTACTTTTTATTAAAACCTTTGAATGTGTTTGAACTGTGTTTGAGTGCGCAGAGAATGATTTCACTTGAAAGCAATGCCCTTAGATTACAGAATCATGGAAGAGTTAGACGGGACCACGAGGGTCTTCAAGTCCAGCCCCTGCAGGAATCTTTTGCTCTACATGGGGCTCAAAGGACGGCCCTGAGATTAAGGGTCTCGTGCTCTACTCAGTGAGCTATACGGATTGATCTAAATAGCAAACACCAATCATTTATTTTTTACAATTTACAGTGGTGGAAAATAAAGGGTGTAGGAAATGAAATGATTGTTGCCTTTTCATTGTTTAAGGATGTTTTGTTAAGACTTTTGATTCAACACACTTATTTCAATATACAGTTGTACCTTGGTTTTCGAACTTAATCCGTTCCGGAAGTCCGTTCTTAAACCAAAGCGTTCTTAAACCAAGACGTGCTTTCCCATAGCAGCAGGGGACTCAATTTACAAATGGAACACACTCAACAGGAAGCGAAACATGTTCTGCATGCAAGGCAAAGTTCACAAACCAAAACACCTACTTCCGGGTTTGCAGCGTTCTTAATCCAAGTTGTTCATAAACAAAGCTGTTCTTAAACCAAGGTACCACTATATAAGCAAAGCAAGGTTTACAAACCAATACACCGACTTCTGGGTTTGCAGTGTTCTTCACCCATAAACTAATCTGTTCTTAAACCAAGGTACAACTGTACTTAAAACCTCCAAGGAAGAAGAGCCCACAACCTCCCAAGGGAGACTGTTGAACAGCTGTTACCTCCAGAAAGCTCCTCCTGACGTTTAGTCAGAATCTCCTTTCTTGTAACTGGAAGACATTGCTTTGGGTCCTATACTTCAGAGCAGGAGAAAACAAGAGGCAATAAACAACTATGTGGTGGTGGAAGACATGGGAACCGTACATTTGCAACTGCATCAGGTTCGGCCTGTGTTTTTGCCATTGTCAGTCAGCTTTTCCATCAAAGAAGCTGTATTCACCACACACCGCTGTACCAACTACCTATAGAAAAACCAGAGGAGGTCTTCCAGCCTCCAGCCACTGTCATCCTGGCAGCTACCAATACAGTGGTGCCCCGCAAGACGAATGCCTTGCAAGACGAAAAACCCGCTGGACGAAAGGGTTTTCTGTTTTTGAGTTGCTTCGCAAGACGATTTTCCCTATGGGCTTGCTTCGCAAGACGAAAACGTGTTGCGAGTCTTGTGATTTTTTTCCGCTCCCCCCCCCTTTTTCTAAGCCGCTAAGCCGCTAATAGACTTTTAGCCGCTAAGCCGCTAAGCCTTTAATAGCCGCTAAGCCGCTAAGCCGCTAATAGCGCTAATCCGCTAATAGGGTTGCTTCGCAAGACAAAAAAACCGCTAGACGAAGAGACTCGCGGAACGGATTATTTTCGTCTTGCGAGGCACCACTGTACCTAACTATTCTTCATGAAGCCCTGATTCCAGGATGTTGTTGTTGTTTAGTTGTTTAGTCGTGTCCGACTCTTCGTGACCCCATGATTCCAGGATAGGGGCACTGAATCTGGACTTCGGGGTGTAAGTCCAGGGTTCTGATGCCCAGAGATCTCCCCCAAACAGCCATCTGAGATGGTGGCAGATTATGGGAATGGTGAGACAGAGACAGTGGCAGAAGGGGGGCGAGAGAGGCGGGCTGCCCCAGGTGCCATCTCTGAGGAGGGGTGACAAGAAGGCACCCCATGGGGGGCTTGCCCCACTGCCCCCAGGCACTGTGGCACGAGCTGCTGCCATCACACTGCCGCAGCTGCGTGCGGAGGATCCTCCGCTCGTGGCTGCACCCTCCTCCGCCATCCATACAGCACCTGAGCAGCGCCATTGGCAAATCGCCCAGTGGCGCATGCGCAGCAGCAGTTGAGCACCGTATGGCATACCCTAACCCTCCGCCACCACTGCAGCCGCAAGCAGAGGATCCTGCTGCCATACGTACAGCTCGCATGCATGCGCATTATGTAATGGCGCACATGCATGCGCAGTATGTAGCTGTGCACGCGCATGTGCTGCTAGGCAGTTTGTCCTGCCCCCGACACCCCGCCGCAGGTGCCAATTCTCCTTCCTTTGCCACAGGACAGAGACAGCAGGAAACCATTCTGGTGCCACAACCTGTCTTAGGTAGTAAGCAGGTGGTGACAGTTGACTCAAAATTTCTCCCTCTCTCTCTCTCTCTCTCTCTCTCTCTCTCTCTCTCTCTCCCCCCCTCTCTCTCTCTCTCACACACACACACATACATTTCCCCAGGGTTGAGCATTGCACTGCAAAGCAAGGTGCCAAGCAAAGCCTCATTTCTTGATCCCGACAAGAATTCAAGGAGGCCCAAACCTGGACTTAGGCCACATTCACACTGCACACTCAGAGCAACAAAATCCCAGGAGCTGTAGTTTGTCAAGAATGCTGAGGGTTGTTAGGAGGGCCCTGTTTCACTTCCAGAGCTACAATTTCCAGAGATCCCTGTGGAAGAGGAACTGATTGCTAAACCATCCTAGCAACTGACGCTCTGTGAGGGCTGTCCTTGTGGATCACCATTTATTGATGACATCCCTTTCTTGCTTTTCCACCTGTGCATTCAAGGGGACGTACACCAAATTACAATCAAACTACCGTCCCAGAAAGCAAAAGAAACCATAAAACAGCAAAACCATTAGCCCCAGTGACTTTTCTTTTCAGCATGTGATGATGATGTGAAAGAAACCTGTATCTTGGAGGATTACAAACTTCACATCATCTTCTGCTTCACCATTTACAGCAAATGGCCATTTAGAAAAGCAGCTTAAATTTATCTCTGTTATTTCATTTTCTTGTCTACAAGGGCTTTACCTGTTGAATTTTTCATTGCTTTTCTGTGTGTGACAATTTTATGAGCAAACCCAGTTGGCCGCCAGCATTTTCCCTTATTATTTTCAGCGTGGTCTGGCGTACACCAGGGATCGCTGAAAGCCCCCATTTCACAGCATAAGAGCCACTGGATTGGAGCAACAACTTCTTAAGATTCTTTACTGAAGCGGAACGCAAAGCTGTAGACCTCATGGAAGCAAATCTGTTTCCACGACATGGAAACAATCTGCTCAGTTTGCCAGATTTGGGGGTGGAGGAGAGTCTGACCAATAGAAGGAAGATGAGATAGCCTTGAATGCATTGCCATAAATGTGCATTTTTGTTTCAGAGGGCCTTTTTGAGTGCTTTCTTCTTCTTCTTTTGCTCTAGAAAGAATAGTAAAAGGAAGAGATAAAGGGTTTTGTCTCAAGATTGCCCTGATTAAATACACACATGCAAGCCAATGTGGATATGAGCAGTCAGATAATGAAGATTTAAGAAGAAGCTGCTGTCGTGAGGTTAATTTGGAAACCAATTCCTGCCCCCAAAGGAAGCCAGACATGCTGGGCCACGTTGAGGAACTCTCCAAAAAGATAAACTTAGGCTCAATCAAGTAAAGGCAGTGCAGCTTATCATTTTCCTCTTACTGTGTGTCATGGACTGGCTAGACCAGTGGTGGCCAAACTCGGCCCTCCAGATGTTTTGGGACTACAACTCCCATCCTCCCTAGCTAACAGAACCAGTGGTCAGGGATGATGGGAACTGTAGTCCCAAAACATCTGGAGGGCTGAGTTTGGCCACCACTGGGCTGGACACAGAGGAAAGGTGGGAGGCACCAGCTGGGGAATCCCTAAGGCAGTGGTTTCCCAACCTTGTGCCTCCAGCTGTTTTGGACTACAATTCCCATCATCCCTTGCCACTGGTCTTGCTAGTCAGGGATGATGGGAGTTGTAGTTCAAAAACAGCTGGAGGCACAAGGTTGGGAAACACTGCCCTAAGGGACAAAGGCTCAGAGCCTGGGAAGTGGTGGCCAGGAAGACGATGAGTGGTCAGGGGAAGAAGAGGAGAAAGTCAGGGAGGAGGAGGTGTCAGACGTTGAAGAGGTAACAGGGTTTAGTGAGCAGGGAGAATCTGTGGGAGAGAGAAGTCCAGAAGCAGAAGGCAAGAGAGGAAGGAGGTCAAGAAGCAGAGCTGGTGAAGAGGCATGGGGTCTCCCCATCCTGCTGCAACAAGCTCCCCTTCTCCTGGACTAGAAGAGGTATGAAGTGGGAGGAGCAGAGACAGGCACATTGGCAGAGTCTCAGATTGCTTGAGAAGGACCCAAGGGGAGGAGGAGATTCAGCAGCTGTGGGAAGATAGGGACCTTCAGCCTCCACAACTGCCAACCAAGAAGAGTTGCTGTGCTCATTAGGCCTGGCACCCCTGAGCAGGCCTTCTTTCTTCTAATAAAGAGTTAACTTCACCCACTCTGTGTGATTTATTGCTGGCTGGCTCGCTGACACTGTCTTGCTTACATTTTGATTAGTCTGGTTTCTTTCCTGTGCTGCTACAAGACATTGTTTTCTTCTCTTACATTCATGCCTTGATCTCTGCCTGGTCTGATTTCTTGGGCCTGATTATCTACAGTGGAACCTCGGTTCTCGAATGTCTCTGTTGACAAACGTTTCGGAACCCGAACGTCGAAAACCTGGAAGTAAATGCTTCCGTTTTTGAATGCGCCTCGGAAGTTGAATGGCTTCCACTGCGTGTTTTTCAATTTTCTCAACTGAATTTGCCGACGGCTCTTTACGCTTCGGTTTTCGAACGTTTCAGAAGTCGAACCGTCTTCCGGAACGGATTATGTTCGAAAACTGAGGTTCCACTGTGTTTCCCTTTATTTTGTTTTGCTGCCTATAAGGCTGCCTTTCTCCTCTTTCTTCCTGCTTCCTCCAACTTACATTTCAACCACCAAATGGTATTACACCTCCGCCTGCTGCCTGTGAGTTTCTAACTTTTTCTCACTGAATTTTTCTCATTCTATTACCATTACATCTCCTTTTCCTTTATCATGTTCTTCTTTCTGCCTAAATAAATAAATAAATGTATTATTTACAGTGGTACCTCGGGTTAAGTACTTAATTTGTTCTGGAGGTCCATTCTTAACCTGAAACTGTTCTTAACCTGAAGCACCATTTTAGCTAATGGGGCCTGCTGCGCCGCCGGAGCACGATTTCTGTTCTCATCCTGAAGCAAAGTTCTTAACCGGAGGTACTATTTCTGGGTTAACGGAGTCTGTAACCTGAAGCGTATGTAACCTGAAGCATATGTAACCCGAGGTACCACTGTATACCCTGCCCACATGCCACCTTGGGCGGCTTCCAGCAGAATATAAAAACATAATATATTCTCCTATTAATATTATTCGTCCTGTGATTTACTCCCCACACCACCCATTGATGACCTGTCTAATTTTATTTTCTTCTCAGACTTTGGCTTTCTTTCTCTCTCTTTCTCTATTTCGGCTTTGACTGGCAACTTGCTTTGCAGTGCAATGCTCCACCCTGGGGAAATGCCCAGCCAACTTCCCTACGCGCGCACCGCTTCCCAACCCAGCGGTGGGAGCGCGCTGGACGCGGAGGAAACGGGGGAAGCGCGTGCACGGACTAATCTGGAAACTCCGGACTGCTTTGCAAAACCGAAGCAGGTTCTCGAGAGGGCGTTGCGTGTCTTTACATCCGAGGGATTCCTACCCAGCCTGTCAGCAAAATTCCCAGGGCAGCTTTGCAACATTTAAACACACAATAAAGCAACATTCCAAACGTGCGGCGCATCTTGCACGCATCTTGCGCGAGGCACCCGTTGCTTGCAGCGTCTACAAAGAAGTGATTCCAGGCAAGGATCCCGCGCAGCGCAGCCCTCGGCGCCTCCACCCGGAAGCAAGCTCGGGGAGCCTCGGCGTCGCGCGGCAAGCCAGCCCGTCGCCTGGCAACGGGGGACGCCGGAGAGGGAGGGATGCTCGGCCATGGCGGGTCCCGGCGCCGCCTCCGCCGCCTTCTGGGAGCACCTCCGCCGGCTGTGCCTGGACCAGTTTCCCTGCGGGATCGGGAGCTGGGTGAGCTGGGGGGAGGCGAGGAGGGCGGCGGGAGATAGGGGGCTGGGGGAGGGGGAGGGGGAGCAAGGGGAGGGGATCCTCGTGCTCTCTGCCCCTCCCGTCCAGCAAACAGCTAGCTGCCCCATGGCACTTCCACGCAGGGCTGGCCCAGGTGCGGGGCGCCAAGGGCGGGCAGAGTGTATTGCGGCGGGAATGCAAATTTCAGTAGAATGAAATACAATATAAGAAATAACATAAGCAATACACACACAGAGAGAGAGACACACATACATATAGATATAAAAGGTAAAATACCCCTGACCATTAGGTCCAGTCGTGACCAACTCTGGGGTTGCGGCACTCATCTCGCTTTACTGGCCAAGGGAGCCAGCGTACAGCTACCGGGTCATGTGGCCAGCATGACTAAGCCGCTTCTGGCAAACCAGAGCAGTGCATGGAAACGCTGTTTACCTTCCTGCCGGAGCAGTACCTATTTATCTACTTGCATTTTGATGTGCTTTCGAACTGCTAGGTTGGCAGAAGCAGGGACTGAGCAATGGGAGCTCACCTTGTTGCAGGGATTCGAACCACTGACCTTCAGATCGGGAAGTCCTAGGCTCTGTGGTTTAATCCACAGCACCACCCGCGTCCCTTGACATAGATATAAAGGTACCCCTGCCCGTACGGGCCAGTCTTGACAGACTCTAGGGTTGTGCGCCCATCTCACTCTAGAGGCCGGGAGCCAGCGCTGTCCGGAGACACTTCTGGGTCACGTGGCCAGCGTGACAAAGCCGCATCTGGCGAGCCAGAGCCGCACACGGAAACGCCGTTTACCTTCCCGCTGGTAAGCGGTCCCTATTTATCTACTTGCACCCGGGGGTGCTTTCGAACTGCTAGGTTGGCAGGCGCTGGGACCGAGCAACGGGAGCGCACCCCGCCGCGGGGATTCGAACTGCCGAACTTTCGATTGGCAAGCCCTAGGCGCTGAGGATTTTACCCACAGCGCCACCCGCGTCCCTGACATAGATATATAAAGGTAAAGGTAAAGGTACCCCTGCCCGTACGGGCCAGTCTTGACAGACTCTAGGGTTGTGCGCCCATCTCACTCAAGAGGCCGGGAGCCAGCGCTGTCCGGAGACACTTCCGGGTCACGTGGCCAGCGTGACATCGCAGCTCTGGCGAGCCAGAGCCGCACACGGAAACGCCGTTTACCTTCCCGCCAGTAAGCGGTCCCTATTTATCTACTTGCACCCGGGGGTGCTTCGAACTGCTAGGTTGGCAGGCGACATAGATATATACACACACAAAATTAAAAATCATGCTCAGTACAATTGCTACAGCGGGTGGGAAGATGTTTTAAATTGTCTGCCAAGACCCTCCTCCGTTATCAGGTCGTCCAACGGGAGCAATAGATGGGAGCGGCTCCCATAGACTCTCAGCCTGTGGGTGTCTTGTCTCCTTCTCTGCAGTGCCCCCAGCAGAAGCTTATACATCCCTCCTTTCTGTCCTCCGCAGAATAAGTCCCGTTTCCCACCGAGGAAGGCCACAGTTTCCCCCAGATGGGCTTTGCCAAAGGCCAGAGCTTCCCCTCGCGATGGGTTCCTGCCGCCAGAGGAGGAAAGTGTGGAATCACTCACCGACTACCTGAGAAGCCTGGGCTCTCCGTGGGCCCTGCCTGCTGACTGCAGCCCTGAGGACCAGCAGCTGAGGGAGCTGGCTGTGCAGGCTCCAAGAGACATCCAGGACAGCTTAATCTTCTCCTACTTCAAATCGCTCAGGATTGTGAACAAAAACGTGGGTGGCCAAGACTCTTGGGTGGTTAAGACCACAGCACAAGGATTAGGGAACCTCGGCTCCCCTCCTAAGTCAAGTGGGGCCCGCCAGCCCTCCCCATTTGACCTATAAGGCCATTGTGGCCAAGCTAAGCCCTCTTACCTGTGGGGTCAGCACCAACAAAGCCTTGTATCTGTCGTTGCACGTGCAAACAGTCAGCTGATGATGGAGGGAGTGGGGTTTTCTTTTTGCAGAGCTGTGCAGGTGTTGACAGACATCTAATTGTTGGCACTTGCATAGGTCAATGTGTGGCCCTAAACAAGCCTCAGGGATCAGTTGATTTTCAGGGCTTGCATAGTTCTGTGTGGGTCGCACCCAGGCCATGTTGAGGGATGCCCTGTAACCCAAGGAACAGCCTAGTGCTTATATTCTGCTCTGATGCCGATGCCTTGTTTGTGCCGCTTTGACTCAGAGCTTGAGTGCTCCCCTTCTGTGGATAGCTCAGTTGGTTAGAGCGTGGTGCTCACAACACCAAGGTCACAAGTTTGATCCCTGAATGGGAGAGCTGTGTTTGCCTTCATTGTAGGGGGTTGGACTAGATCAGGGGTCTGCAACCTTTAAGACAAAAAGAGCCACTTGGACCCGTTTCCGAAGGGGAAAAAACCTGGGAGCCGCAAAACCATTGCGACATTTAAGCATGCGCGTCGCTGCCCTCCGATCTGACAGCGGCGGGAAGGTGACGTTGGGATGGTGCGTGACTAACGCACGCACCGCCCCCATGCGACGTCACAGCCAGTACAGCGCCCGCCACAGTGGGGAGTGTCGGGGCGCACAATGCGCCTCCTCCCCTCGCTAGTATCTGCCCCGGAGCCGCGGCAAAGGTGTAAAAGAGCCACATGTGGCTCCAGAGCCGCGGGTTGCAGACCCCTGGACTAGATTATCCTCAGGATCTCTTCCAACTATGATTCTATGATCTAAGTGCATCGACTGCTCCTTTCTGACTGCAGAGTGCTCAGGTGGGACGTAACTGCCTTATGTATTTGGATTGCCATGGCACTGTGTTTTTGAGTGCAAGTTTTACGCAGCTCTGACAATTTTAAAACAAGAAATTGAGTGTGATTGTTGTTTTCTGGGTAGGGTTAATTCATTTTCTTAAGTCCCCTGGCTGCATTTACTGTGCTAGAGCTTTCCAATGGATCGCTTGTTTCCCGCTTGTGACCACCTTTGACTCCCTGAGCATGAGTGTTGTTTGTGTTTTACTCTCTTCCTAGGTGATTGAAATTGATGCTGATTTGTTAAAGTTCCCAAACCTGGAAGAGCTAATCCTGAGTGCAAATCACATCAGCAAGATCAACTCCAGCAACCTCCCTCCAACCCTAAAGGTACCTGCAGGTGGGAGGGAAGGTAGATAAGGGTGGGAGACATGGGAGGAGTTAGTGGAATGGAAGATACATGGAGCTGAGAATGTCAGCTAGTCGGTGGGAGGACCGGCTGAGGGGTGGGCTGCTGAGCTTCCCACTGGAACACAGGATTGACCCCTGTGAGAAACAGGCTGCTGGAATACATAGGCCTTTGGTCTGATCCAGCCACAGGGCTCTTTCTGGGTCAGAAAGAGTCAGATTGCATTTCTTGGTACAGAAAGTATTGATTGGATGTGTAGAGATCTTTCCTATTCTAATTAATTCAAGATAGTTCTGGAAGCTTCTCTGTGTGAAAGAAAGAAGCAGAAAGTTTGTTTGGGTTTGTGCTTTCCCTGGAGGTAAAATTCCTATTCTTTCTCCATCTATCTGAGGAGTCCCATTAAACGATTTGGATGTGTATCCAGCACTCTCGCCCTGTTTGTTACCCGAAGGTTATTTCCCTCCTCTCCCTCTGCCCTCCACCTGGCAGGTCCTAGAACTTTGTGGCAACGAAGTGGATGGTCTGAAGGACTTGTGTGCCCACCCGCCTCCTGAACTCCAGCATCTCGGCCTCGGCCACAACTGCCAGCTCGGTTCGTCCGAAGAACAGTATCTCACAGACACTTACTGGTAATGGGAAACTTTTAAGCAGGCAGGAAGAGGAATGGAGAAGAAATTTAGTTCAGTGCGCATTTGAAGCTAAAACAGTGGTTCTCAAACTTTTTTCTCTGGGTCTCGTTTTCAGGGGGAGGGGGGAGTTCATTCCACACCAAATTTTTCACAGATAAGAAATACATTGGAAAACAAAAAGGAACAACTCCTAGCAGAGCTGGATTTAAAACACAGAACATAACTATTTCATAAGAACATAAATCATTCCCAAAATATAATTGTAAACGTGTCTTCTCCAGCACTCTGTTCAAACAGCGATTCTGGATCACAGCTAGGATTATCCTCTGTATCACTTGATATTCTTGTTCTCATTTTGAAAATATATCTATCCATATTCTGCAAATAAAAAAATTTTTTTTTGATACTACACTACACTGAAATGTTTGAATGTTTCTTTGATTTTTCTTGGCTCTTCTCACCACCCTTGCCATCCTCTCCTGTCACACTAGTGTGGCTCACCACACCCTTTGAGAACCACTGAGCTAAATCTATAAAAATTTGCTCTTTCTGAAACAATATGCAAACTAAAAGACAGCCATCCTTTGAAATTTGCACTTATCCAAATGTTGTGATGGACCAAATGTTTATAAAAATGTATATATTGGTTGAAAATGTATAAAAATGATGGTGTTAGTAGGAAAATACATACCAAAATCATTATTTTGGGGGAAATGGCTTGCAAAAACGTGAACATTAGTCAAAATTGCTTATAAAGATGTGTTTATTATGAGAAATTTACACTAAAATGCTGGTTAATTTTTATGAGGATATTTTTAAAAGTTTTTGTTTTTTTGGCTGATTGCTGCAAATTGTGGGAAACTGAATATAGGATTGGAGAAATGAGAAACTGGAAGAACTGAAAATGACAGTTCTTTCCATCCTTACGCAGGAATATGTTAAGAGTGTGGGAAACACATTGATCTCCCACCCCATCTTCTGCTACTAAGTTCAGTCTCCCTTGAGGTGCAAATGGGGAAGGACCGTCCTCACATTCAATAATATATATGTTCTAAGTCTTTTTTTACCAATTCAGTATATTTTCTTTTAATTGTCAAATAATTCTGTGTACATTGCGACAGCCTTTGGCTATGTGCAATAAAACTGACTGAGACTGATACATTCTTGGTCACAATCAGGTGTGGCTGAGAAGGAGGGAGGAATTCGATTTCGTTCTCAGTTAAAAGTGAACTCACCTAATTCCCACGTTCTGAAACAAGACACCAAGCAAGACACGGTTACTCTTTGAAATTTGCACTTTTCGAATGCCGTTTCCCAACCAAGTAATGTTGTTTTTATTAAATGCATAGACTAGCCTAAAGTGTAAAGGAAAAGGGACCCCTGACCATTAGGTCCAGTCACAGACAACTCTGGGGTTGCGGCGCTCATCTCACTTTATTGGCCGAGGGAGCTGGCGTACAGCTTCTGGGTCAGGTGGCCAGCATGACTAAGCCGCTTCTGGCGAACCAGAGCAGCGCACGGAAACGCCGTTTACCTTCCCGCCGGAGCGGTACCTATTTATCTACTTGCACTGCACTTTGACGTGATTTCAAACTGCTAGGTTGGCAGGAGCAGGGACCGAGCAACAGGAGCTCACCCCATTGTGGGACCTTCCTGTAGCCAATCTGAAGCCGTGTGTTGGTTTTCAAACGTTTTGGAAGTCAATCGGAGTTCCGGAATGGATTCCATTCGACTTCCAAGGTATGACTGTACATGCATCGTTTTAGGGGAAATTGCCTTGCATAAATGTGTGTATTAGATAAAATTGCATGCAAACGTATGTACAGTTCTATCGCATCTTGTGCAGGGGTTCAGTACACATGAAAATTTCGTATATCCAAACTCTTTGTACCACTCCATGGCTAGTACCCCGAGAGCCTGTTGCACTGAGTGTAGGCCATCCTCAGTGATGAAGGCGGAGAGCATAAAAGCATTTTCCATACTGGGTAACCCCAACCAGACCTTCCAGCTCTGGAAGCCATGGGGTGCTTGTGAGAGATCTTGCAGGAACTTGGATTGCCCTGCAAGATCTTGCATGAGCACACAAAAGCCCCCTGCCATGCTTGGATTTAACCTGTGCCCTTTCAACCAGCCTGCCTTCAATCGCATGTGGTTGAGATCGTGCCAGTTAAAATATGTGTAAGATACAATCATACTGTATTATGAAAAAATTATTGATTTTTTCCCCCAATTGCAAACTGATATTGAAATGGGGAGAACTGAATTTAAGGTTGGAAAAACGAGAAATGGAGAGAGACTAAAATTGATGGGTTCGCCCATTGCCAGGTGGGACACACGGAGAATGTGGGGCACTATGTTCATGTGTGCGCGCTTCCTTTAATCTTGAGGTGCCCAATGTGGTCCTCCCCAGATCCTGTAGGACTCCCAACTCCCGCCAGGCCCAGCCAGCAACATCCATGTCAACTGCCCCTGTTCCCATTAAAAAGGTAAAGGTACCCCTGCCCGTACGGGCCAGTCTTGCCAGACTCTAGGGTTGTGCGCCCATCTCACTCTATAGGCCGGGGGCCAGCGCTGTCCGCAGACACTTCCGGGTCATGAGGCCAGCATGACGAAGCTGCTCTGGCGAGCTAGCGCAGCACACGGAAGGCCGTTTACCTTCCTGCTAGTAAGCGGTCCCTATTTATCTACTTGCACCCGGGAGTGCTTTTGAACTGCTAGGTTGGCAGGCGCTGGGACCGAACAACGGGAGCGCACCCCGCCGCGGGGATTCGAACCGCCGACCTTTCGATCGGCAAATCCTAGGCACTGAGGCTTTAACCCACAGCGCCACCCGCGTCCCATTAGCTCTTACTAAAGACCCATTCCCTTCCCTTATTTTTCTTTAGGCCGAAACTCGTCTCCCTCGACTTGAGCTACAACAATTTCACCAACTTACTGAGCCTCCTCTTGAAGCTTTTGACGATGAAGAAACTGCGGGTCCTGGTGCTTCAGGGAAACCCACTCGCCCTGCTGCCTGGCTACAGGGGGTTTGTCATCGATAGCCTGCCAAAACTCTGCACGCTTGACGATGTGATCATCACACCTGACGAGAGACACGACTTCTTAGAGCTGTCTAGCAATCCGGGTGAGGCTTCCTTAGTCAAAGAGCAGTCCATTGATGGAATTTCCACATCCCTGACAAGTGGCCAGGCAGGGCTATCTTAGTTCCAGCAGCCAAAACATCCAATGTGTGATAGTCGGGGCAAGTAAAAGAACTGACTCATACTCAGAATGCCAAACCTAGCTTTGCAGTGCAGCTGGACACTTGAACCCAAGCCTGTGTATGTTTTTCTGGAGCCTCAATATTCAGTTTCTCCCCAGACTCTGTAATATTGTGGCTCTTGGGTGACTCCTAGTGGTGTAGACTTTTAGGCCTCTTCTGAAATAGACTAGGATTCATGCTGAAGCAAAGCTAGAGGAAGTTAAAATGCTGTGCTTGGACAATACCCTCCATCATTTTTATCTTAGACTCCCCTTCCTCCCCCGCCGTGAGATCACAGAGTCTCAAAACGCACATTTTGGTGCAAAGCATTCAGGACTGCCACCTTGCGTGATATCATGGAGTCCAAAAATGTGGGTTATGGGGCTCTGATATCGTGCGAGGTTGCAATCCTGTGTTTTGATGTGCCGTGGTGGATTGCCTCCGTTGTAACCCCAAAACACCCACGCGAATGCTAAACATTCTGTGAAAACGCAGAATCCTGATTGTTGGGTGAAAACATGGAAAGCCAGAGGAAGTGGAATGGAATGGAGTGTCCTGGGAGAAGGTGTAGATGAACCCTGAGCAGGAGCATTCTACACTGCAGCATTTTGTTGCAGCTCCCACTTGTACCCACCCACAATTCAGTGCTCTCCTCTACCCCCAACCCCATGAGACCTTTAACAGCTGAAACAGCGCACCTTCCTTTGCCCCCACGGCTTGACCAGTCCTGCTTTGCTAAGCTGTTTGGGGGCAGATGTTACATCCTGCCTGGGTGTGTCTGTCTATCCTGTGATCTGCATTCAAACGGATGTTGCCGCTTGATGTTTCGTCTCCTGCTTTCGCAGAGCTCTTAAAGTGCTACACTAAAATGGTCGTGGTCATTGGCAAAGTCAGGGGCGTCCCTAATCCCATTGGCTCAGAGGAACCAGAGACTGGACCTGAGGCTCCAATAATCACCTACAATTACTACGTGACGTATGAATTTGCCAAAGATGAGAAAATTGAGGAGGAAGAAACAGACAAGGTAGACATTCTTGAAATGGAGTTGTATGTATGTCACTGATTAAACTGGTTTCAACAGTTCTGTGCTTTCTCTAGGGAGCTCTGGGAACTGTAGTTCTGCAAAGGGAGATAGGGAACTATTATTATTATTATTATTATTATTATTTATTATTAAAACAATTCTTCATAAAAAAATGTTTACCCTTCAGCCAATGATCATAGGGTGCTTTACAATGTAAAAACACAAAATTGCATAGCATGATAACAAACGAAAACAATACCCCCTAAGACATAAACACAGCTTAAAAGGCTATAGATTGTTCAATTAGCCAAAGGCCTGGCGCCTAAAGATATGAAATGAAGGCGCAAGCTACAGTTCCCAATGTGGAGGAAGTCATGACAGTTACTATAGTATACCTTTGGTAGTATGAACAAGCCTTACCCTATAGAGGCAGCTTAAGTCCTACACATGGGAGTATTTCCATAAGGGCACAACAGTCCAGTGAGGACTGAACCTTGCTTGCAGCTGTTGCGTAGAACCATCAACTGCGAAATGAGGTGGAATTTGGGATGGATGCATTTCAGAAATGCAAAGGAGGGGGCAATTCCATCGTGCCAGGAGGAGACACCGCAGAAAATTATAATAATGCTTTTTGCCCTCTTTAAAGCTGAATGGCAGGGACGCGGGTGGTGCTGTGGTCTAAACCACTGAGCCTCTTGGGCTTGCTGATTGGAAGGTTGGCGGTTCAAATCCCTGCGACGGGGTGAGCTCCCATTGCTCTTTCCCAGCTCCTGCCAACCTAGCAGTTCAAAAGCACGCCAAAAAGTGCAAGTAGATAAATAGGTAGCGTTCCGGCAGGAAGGTAAATGGTGTTTCCGTGCGCTGCTCTGGTTTTGCCAGAAGCAGCTTAGTCTTGCTGGCCACCTGACCTGGAAAAACTGTCTGCAGACAAACGCCGGCTCCCTTGGCCTGTAAAGCGAGATGAGCGCTGCAACCCCAGAGTCGTCTGCGACTGGACTTAACTGTTTCCAGGCCTTTGACCATTTTGGTTGCCCTCCTCTGGACACGTTCCAGTTTGTCAGTGTCCTTCTTGAACTGTGGTGCCCAGAACTGGACACAGTACTCCAGGTGAGGTCTGACCAGAGCAGAATACAGTGGCACTATTACTTCCCTTGATCTAGATGCTATACTCCTATTGATGCAGCCCAGAATTGCATTGGCTTTTTTGGTGTTCTTGGTGTCTGCATGTTTCCCAGCTATGAAATTTTCACGTGATTCTTCTTATATATTATAATGGCAGTGTGTCTTAGCAGTATCAACTACATTGAATGTTGAAAACGCACAAGGAGGAGTGGAAGGAGGGGGAAGCAATGAGCCCGCACCTGTGGACTCTTCAATCAAATCTCCTACTGAGCCTGGTGAGTAGCTCCACAGGGCCTGACGGAGTAAACTGGACCACAAGTGAACTTGCATTCTGCATGCGTTACCAGCCCCACACAGATAACTCCAAGAATCCTAGCTGCAGGGAGTTCCTCATGTGCTTAGCTGAGCCTTCTAGCTGAGCTTAGCCAAGCCTTTGGGCAAAGCTGAGGGCTTCTGCAAGATAACTCCAAGAAACCTAGCTGCAGGGAGTTCCCCATGTACTTAGCTCAGCCTTCTAGCTGAGCTTAGCCAAGCCTTTGGGCAAAGCTGAGGGCTTCTGCAAGCTTTAAAACTCATGCAGAAATTAACCAGGGTAATTATTAAATAGCTCAGCTCTAAAGTGCACTTTGCAAGACTGTGGTAGATTTGAGCTATCTAGCTGCTGGTATTTAGCTATAGTTTCTAAAGAATGCCTATTAAAATCCTTTGCTAGGCTTCTACTAGGAAGTTGCTTGGCTTCCTAGTTTCAGAAGTCATGATTGCAAAGTGGGGCATGACTCTTCAATGGCAGAAAGTTGTTACGCAGCCACCTTTGTTTCCAAGCTCTTTCCCAAAGTCTGTGGATGAGTAACGGGCAGCCTTTAAAATGTCACCAGGTTTAAATGCACCATAAATGCAACTACACATATGCCAGTCTCTTCAAATTAAGTCCAGGTTTTCTTCACCTGCTATGGAAAGGAGGGGGAAACCTGTCGCCCTATAGATGTTGATGGACTACATGTTCCATTATCCCTGACGGTTTGCCATACTGACTGGAGATGATGGGAGCTGGAGTCCAACCACACCTGGAGGACTGTAAGTTCCTGCACCCCTGTGCTAAGGGACAAGACAAAGCACAAGTACGATCCCACTTCATGCCCCCACCTCTCCTTTTCTGTCAAATCTGTTATTGTTACACCTACAATAACTGCATTTAAATCAGTCATGGATAATGGACATTGTAGTCCAGGACATCTGGAGTGCACCAAGTTGTTGGAAGTTGGTTTAAATCAATAAAGCCTTTCTCTCTTTGCTTGGACCCCTTCTTTGCAGGGAAACAGCACAGAGATATTAATTCTGCTTAATGAAAACTTGGTGTGATTGCAAAGTATGCAGGCTGTTCTCTTTAACTGAACCACATCTTTGGCCCAGTTAAAGAGAATCATTGCTGTCCTTGATTTTCTGTTACCTGAAGGTGATTACAGTGGTACCTCGCAAGACGAATGCCTCGCAAGACAAAAAACTCGCAAGACGAAAGGGTTTTTGGTTTTTTGAGTTGCTTCGCAAGACGATTTTCCCTATGGGCTTGCTTCGCAAGACGGAAAGGTCTTGCAAGTTTGTTTCCTTTTTCTTAACACCGTTAATACAGTTGCGACTTGACTTCGAGGAGCAACTCATAGCAAGCGGTGTGGTAGCCTTTTTTGAGGTTTTTGAAGACTTTGGTGATTTTTGAAGCTTTTCCAAAACTTTTCCGAAACCGTGCTTCTCAAGACGAAAAAAATCGCAAGACGAAAAAACTCGCGGAACGAATTAATTTCGTCTTGCGAGGCACCACTGTATCTCCAACCAAATTTGGGAATGATTATTGGCCTAGTAAGAAATCAGCTATCCACTTCTTAAATAGTGTTGCTACTGCTTTATCTCTCGGGACACTGAGGGACCTGTTAGCAGAGCATGCTGTTTGATTATTAACAAAGGACATTCTTATCCTGAACTGTCACCTGATCTAGCACAAGAGTTTTGGCATTCCTGTTTAACATGCTGAATTGCAACTCAGATGTTGAGGCAAGAAGGGGTTGCTTTTAAATCTCCCTGTCTGGTTTGATGCAAAACCCCAGTCATGTTATAAGCCAGGGGTCTGCAACCCGCGGCTCCGGAGCCGCATGTGGCTCTTTTACACCTTTGCCACGGCTCCGGGGCGGATACTAGCGAGGGGAGGAGGCGCATTGTGCGCCCCGACACTCCCCACTGTGGCGGGCGCTGTACTGGCTGTGACGTCGCATGGGGGCGGTGCGTGCGTTAGTCACGCACCATCCCAACGTCACCTTCCCGCCCGCTGTCACATCGGAGGGCAGCGGCGCGCATGCTTTAAATGTCGCAATGGTTTTGCGGCTCCCAGTTTTTTCCCCCTTTGGAAATGGGTCCAAGTGGCTCTTTTTGTCTTAAAGGTTGCAGACCCCTGTTATAAGCAATGGGACAGGGCAGGGGTGGGCCTCTGGGGTTCAAAGCCCAGGGCATTGAAAACCAGAGAGATTCTCTGTATTCTTCTCAGATGCTTTTGCCTGGCTGGAATGTGTCCTTGGAAATGTGATAATGCCTTTTGCATGCCTGGATGAAGGGCATTGGGCGGGTGTCTGGCAAAAACCAGAAATTTGCATTGCTAGACTGTATGCTTCCATGCAACAGTAAGGGAAGAATCCATTGCTCTACTTGTATTTTGCCCCTGGTATCTGCCCGCCCCCCCGGCCCCTCAAAGGTGGCACATGAGGGAATGTGACCTGACCTTTGAGGTGTCCTGTTCTGAAGATGTGCTTTCCTCAAAAGCCCTTCGTTTCTCCCCCTTAGGAAATGTTTATTCCACCCCTCGAAAGCCCTGGGCTGAGGTCATAGACTGTGACCACACGAAGGAGCATGTCACCAGAGATATGGTTGCTCTGAAGGCCTATCTTCTCGCCGGAACCACGGTGACAGTTGTGGAGGAAAAGGTTACGTATTCCAAGGCAGATTCTGTACAGATATAGATGCAAATATATATGCAAATATTCAAACTGTCTTTTATATTTACATGTTTAAATGGTTTTTGTTATGTACTGAAGTTCTCGCCCTGGGCCAGCAGGGGGATACTGTAGTTATGCAAATGAAGGATCGAAAGTGACATTCAGTGATTGGATAGTTTGTATGCAAATGAAGGATCGGAAGTGACGTTCAGTGATTGGATAGTTTTAGAAAGTTGTTACAGTAACAAGGTACTGGAGCTCTATATAAGCAGGCTGACTGAGCCCTTCAGCTCACTTCAGTTCTGGCCTCAGAATAAAGAAGAGCTGTTTGAAGAATCGCTGTGTCGTCTGATATGTTCGCCCACAACTTAACAGTTTTTGTATGTGTAATTGTTTTCACATGTGTTATTATGTTGTGAATCGCTTCATGATGCCCCATGGGAAGTGATTTTGACCTCTGCAGCTGCCTCAGCTTTTGTAGCTGGAGTCAGTCCAGACCCTTGCCCTCCCAGGCCAGGGGGGGGGGGAGCCTGCAGGGCAGGGAGCAAGTCTTTTTGGACTCACAGCCAAGATGGGAATATACTAAAAATCCACGTTAACATATCTATTCTGGATTTTGGCTTTTTAAATGTTAGCGGATGATATGAAATGTTACAGTGTTACATTAAATGCTACAATGACATGAAAACTCCCCTTTGCTTTTGCGTTTTGAAAGTTCACTAATAATCTGGCCTTTCATAGCCCTAATAAACTCTTTTGCTTCACCAGGTTGTCTCGTGGCCCGTCGTTCTCACCCCAAATGAAAGCCCAACCAAAAAAGGCAAAGATAAGGGGAAGGCAGAGAAAGGGAAGGGAAAGGGGAAAGGGAAGGAGAAGGAGAAGGAGAAGGAGAAGGAGAAGAAGGCAGAGAAAGGGAAGAAGGACAAAGGCAAAGAGGAGAAGGGGAAAGCAAAGGATGCTGGAAAGGTAATGAGAGGTGAGAGTTGTGCCCGACTGTTGCTCCAGTCAAAAGTGTATGAAGCCAGACTGGGGGGCAGTTAAGCAATGCCTGAAACAGAAATGTCAGTTTGCAAAACATGCATAAAACATTTTATGTATGTAAACACAAAATTAGGGGGGAAATGGGGTTATTCTCAAAAGGTGTGGCAGGAGAGCATGGCAAGGGTGGCGGGAAGATTCAAGGACAACCCAGGAAACATTTTAACATTTCAGAGTGGTGCGGTGCAGTATCAAAATACCGTATTTTTTGCTCTGTAAGACTCACTTTTCCCCCCTCCTAAAAAGTAAGGGGAAATGTTGTGTGCGTCTTATGGAGCGAATGCAGGCTGCGCAGCTATCCCAGAAGCCAGAACAGCAAGAGGGATCACTGCACAGCGAAAGCAACGATCCCTCTTGCTGTTCTGGCTTCTGGGATTCAGAATATTTTTTTTCTTGTTTTCCTCCTCCAAAAACTAGGTGCGTATTGTGGTCTGGTGCGTCTTATAGAGCGAAAAATACGGTATTTTTGTTTTATTTGTAGAGTATGTAGCTGCATTGTTTAATACTTTCCGGATTTTCCATTATCATATTGCAAAGTAGTTGTGTTCTGTGTTATATAAATCAAGCACTGCTAGGAGTTGTTTCTTTTTAATTTTCCGATGCATTTCTTATCAATAAAAAAAATGGTGTAGTGCAAGCAAACCTTTAATCTGAAAGTATGTCCCAGATAAAAATAAGTTTGAGAACCACTGGGTTAAGCAACCTGGGAAGCCTTGCCTTCCCATTATGTCCAAACAAGGGATAGAAGAAGAAGAAGAAGAAGAGTTTGGATTTGATATCCCGCCTTTCACTCCCTTTAAGGAGTCTCAAAGCGGCTAACATTCTCCTTTCCCTTCCTCCCCCAAACAAACACTCTGTGAGGTGAGTAGGGCTGAGAGACTTCAAAGAAGTGTGACTGGCCCAAGGTCACCCAGCAGCTGCATGTGGAGGAGCGGAGACACGAACCCGGTTCACCAGATTACGAGACTACTGCTCTTAACCACTACACCACACTGGCTCTAGTGGTTTGCTGCGCCTTAACAAGCCACAATTCATAAGCTGGCAACATACTCTGGCTTCAGGTTGGCTGGTGGTCATGGCAGCTTGTTTGGTAGAATGAAACCGTAGCCCCTGGTTTGGCTGTAACGTGCAAAGCCAGGGAGTCCTGGCACAGTCCCCTGGGCTCCTTTGGGAGGAAGAGGGGTGGGGTATGACCTTAAATATAAATAATGGTCCTTGTTTGTTTATTGCACTCATGCAAAGTGTGTCCAAGCTCCCTGCTCCTCACAATAAGCCAAGGTAAGCCAGGAAGTCTGGCTTGGCCACTTTGTGATGTAACAGAAAAAGATCTCACAAGGAAAACAATTAGCTGCCCACAGTCTTTATTTTTAGGACGCAAAAGCCTGCCCTTCAAAATTCTCTTCCTGTGTAGACTTGATAAACTCTCTCCCTTCCCATTTTTAAATGTCACATGGACATGTTTCCAAAAGGTGACTCTGCTTTTACTGCTGTAGTCCAAAATATCCGGAAGGCTTTAGATTGGCGAAATCTGTTTTGCATTTGTTTGTAGGGCTAGCCTAGAGCATTTTGGATCCTTTAGGTGAGGCAGCAGGTGGTGTCTCCCCCCCACCCCAGAGAGTACCCAAAACTTGCCAAGTTATTTTGGCATCCAAGGCAGAAAACCCCAGAAGTGCCTCTTTCCTTCTCTGGCAGGTAAAACAAAAATAACAGTAATAAATAAAAAAACTTTCTGCCTTTCGTGACAGCCATAATTAGCTGCCTTTGGTGCCTGTCTTACATTGCCCAACAGCGGAGCCAGCGATGGTTTTGGATTTTCTGCTGTTCTCAATTGACGACAACAAAAGCAATAAGAAGTTACCGTATTTTTTATTTTTTTAAATGTATTTAGCAGTTTATGCTGCATTTGCAATAGAACTGCCAGGATAGCAGTGTTTAAAACATAATAAAATTTCCAAGATGGTGGTCTTGGAATTGCATGCCCTTTAACATTTCTCCAACAAAAATAGGGACATCCTATTCAATAATAATAATAATAATAATAATAATAATAATATTTATATCCCACTCATCTGACTGGGTTTCCCCAGCCACTCCAGGCATCTTCCAACATATATAATAACATAATAAAACATTAAACATTAAAGAAACTTCCCTATACTTCAGATGTCTTCTAAAGGTTGTATAGTTACTTACCTCCTTGGTTGTGGGATCGCATAATTCCATACCCTCCAACATCTCTCTGATGAAAATAAGGATGTCCTAAGGGAAAGCGGGACATTCTGGGATCAAATCAGAAACCGGGACAACTTTTGTAAATCTGGGACTGTCCCTGGAAAATATGGACATCTGGAGGGTCTGGAATTAGGATTCAGTATCAGTGAATCACAAATAAACAAGGAATTAATTTATAAATATTTAAATAAATAAAAAGTTAGCTGACTGTAACTCCTCCTCTGACCCACAGCAATTTTTGTAGACTCTTTAAATTGACCTGCTTCAGTTTATAATGTACATTATTGCAACAGCTGCGGTTGTGTTTATTGTTAGTGTTTGTTACTGAGGTTGTTAGCTGTATATTCTGAAAATCTTTGAATGAGATTATTAATAACCCAGAATGAATTTATTTATCTGATATGCTGCCACATCCACATAGGGCGGGAAGAAAAAGAAATCTCCTTCTCCTGAGCTACGAAGTGACCCTCCCATCGTGAAGGTCCTGGGCTCAGGCCATGTCAATCTGGAAAGCCTTCTGGCAGGAGAGCCTCTCGTGGAGACCGTGTGCGACTTTGGCATTCTGATAACGGAGTCAACTAGTAAGCCCCCGTCTCCGAAAGAAAAGGTATTTGGCAACTGAATCTGTGTTAAATGCAGCCACCAGGTCAGAAAGGTTGCTTTCCTGAGAAAGCCCCCCGTGGGCAGAATTGGGCCTTGGTGCTCCTATTTATTTCACCAACATTGCCTGAAATAGGACAGAAACGGCTGTTAAGCCTGTGCTTAGAGTCAGAATGGGAGGTTAGGTTGGCCCCCACCCCAACATAAATCCTGAAAAAATCTTTCCCTGCCATCAACCAACATGGCCAAGGTGGTTTCAGTCCCATGATGGGGCCTTGATTCCAGTTGGAAGGGATCCAAATGGTCCACGTGCTCCAGATGTGCCTGGAAGGAGCTCCCACTCAGTCACCTCGCCCAGGAAGACTACCTGCAATAAGGAAAGCAACGTGAAAAGCGAAACTGGAAAGTATAGGGGTAACATTTTCCTGATGCAACGTCCTCTAGCCTCCCTGCAAACAAACCAGGAAGAATGCTCATTCAGCAGCCAACATCATCTAATCTCCCCACAGCCAAGTCAAGATAAAAGCAGCCAGAGGGTTGTAGTGATTGAGAGCTCAGGAGTCACGAGGCCTTTCGTGTGGCCCCTTTGTAGCACCCTGGGGGCATGAGGCCTACTGCATGGAGCAAGGGCTACCTGCTGACCTCTGTGGGATGTCATCCCGCCTACCCACAAATATGGGGCAGCCCATCAGCTGGGCTTATTGTGGGCAATGTTATGTGCATATTGCCTTGAGAATGGTGTTTTAGACCAGGGGTCAGCAAACTTTCTCAGCAGGGGGCCGGTCCACTGTCCCTCAGACCTTGTGGGGGGCCAGACTATTTTTTTTGGGGGGGGGGAATGTACAAATTCCTATGCCCCACAAATAACCCAGAGATGCATTTTCAATAAAAGGGCACATTCTACTCATGTAAAAACATGTTGATTCCCTGACCGTCCACGGGCCGGATTGAAAAGGCGATTGGGCTGGATCCGGCCCTTAGTTTGCCTTCCCAGGGTTTAGAAGATGATTAATAAATGTAATAATGATAATGACCTCAGGATGTGTCACGGAGTCTCAAAACGTGTAGGTCAGGCCTCCATCTGGCAGTACAGACTGTTCCTGGAAGAACTCTTAGTCTGTCATAACCTTGTACGGAAAAAAATATCCACTTTTTAAAATAACTACGCTGATCAGACTGAAAGTGCAGAAGTGTGGTTTGAAAGGTGTGGCTCCAAAGTATTTAATCGGTATGACATTTCTGACTGCCTTTTTTTTTTTTTTGCACATGTGTGTTTCTAGCCTTCCTAAAAAGCACAAACTTCTTTTCTGTAGGATAGTAAAAAGGGTGCTAAAAAGGACAAAAAAGCCAAAGCTGCAGCTGCCGAGAGCGCAGCGTCAAAGAAGGCCACCACACCTGTCAAAGGTAATCCCAGGAGAGCCCCTTCGTATTATGGTTATTTTGGGTGTCTTTGGGTGCTGGAGATCTGCATGAAGCCCGGGCAAACTGCAAAGTTAAAATCTTCACTAAGATGACAGTTATGCAAAACAGTGGTGTTTTGCATACCTAACTGCCTGTAACCAGGGCTGTGTACCCACCATATATTTAAAGTACATTTGAAAGACATTTCCTTCCTTCTGGGAACGGTAGTTTGTTAAGGGTCACCAGGAACTGTAGCTCCGCTTGGGGTAAACTTCATTGCCCATAATTCTTTCAGGGAAAGAATGTGCTTTGAATATTCTTTAAAGGTATAATGGGTACATAGCCTAGGGATGTAAGAAAACATTGTTTTCAATTCTGCCCCATACAGCACTGGTTCCAGTCCACTACCGTTTGTTTCCTGCCCAAAACTATTCCGCTTGTCTCTCCATCTGCTGTGGTGAAATTGTATAGCTCACGTAATTAATTATGTAAATTACATTATTGCATTGTCATTACGCTTTTCCACCCTATTAATTCCAGTGCAAAGGAAACACAATACGGATGGGGAGCAGGAAGCAACGTAATCAGAAACGTGCTCCTTGTGAACTGGAAGCCACAAGAATAGTGACTATTCGCACAATTGATTTGTGTTCCAGACATGAGACGAATAACCAAACATTGGAAGTGAATTTTGTTTAACAAAATTTCTATAATGCTTATAAAATTTCTAAGCACTTACAAAACATAACAGCAAAACATTAAAATCATCAGTAAAAGAACAGTATTTAAAACATTCAAAAGATACCGTATTTTTTGCCCTATAGGACGCACTTTTTCCCCTCCAAAAATGAAGGGGAAATCTGGGTGCGTCCTATGGGGTGAATGCAGGCTTTCGCTGAAGCTTGGAGAGCAAGAGGGGTCAGTGCGCACCGACCCTTCTCGCTCTCCAGGCTCCAGGAAGACATCCGCAGCCTAGGCAGCCCTGCGGGAGGTCCCTGCGTCGGGCGCCCTGAAAGCAGAGCGCCCGGCGCTTTGGGAACACATCCGCAGCCTAGGCAGCCCTGCGGGAGGTCCCGCAGGGATTTCTAGGCTGCGGATAGCAGCCTGCCGCCCAGCGGGCGGGGCGCCCTGAAGCAGAGCGCCCCGCGCGCCGGGCAGACATTGGCCAGCCCCACAAGCTGTTCCACGACCTGGTTCGGTTTCCCCAACCGTCCTATGGGACGAAAAATACGGTAATTAAAAGCAATAAAAAGGTAAAAGATATGTATATTTCGATAGGCATCCCTAGGCAAAAATATTTTAAGCAACACAAAAAGGCCTGAGGCCAATAAGCAGGGAGTTCCAAAGAGTAGCTGTGTTGCCACACCAAAATACCGTTCTCTTATTGAATGAGTATCCTATGGCACTTGTAACAGTGCCACTTCCACACCGACCAAAGCAGCCAAGATTAGACAAGTAAATTTACGCTCCCATTTCCATTGGAATTCTCTGGCATCTCTCCCTGTACCTGCACTTCTGCGAGCATTTTGCTTCTCTTATGGGGACCAGGAACTACTAGTTCTTTTTTTAAGGGTAATGGAAAATCACCAAGAGGTCACGATTCTATGTCATTCTGTTAGACTTCTTCAGAACAGAGGAAACTGCCAAGTCAGAACCATTTGCCCATCTACCCCAGTATTGTCTACACTGACTGGCAGCAGCCCTCCAGGATTTCAGACAAGGAGTCTTTTCCAGCCATCCCTGGAGAGGCCAGTGGGGACTGAACCTGTGACCTTTGGCTCGCAAGGCAGGTGCTCTGCCACTGAGCTGTGGCCCTCCCTCCTTGTCAGAGTGGACTGGTATGACTGTCTTACACACTGTTACATGGAGGAAGTGATTTGACCTTTCCTGGAGATCTTAGGCCATAACAAGGAAGACTGGGTGTGAGAAAATCCATGAGTAGATTGTGCCCCTGTTGGTTAGACATGGGCAGATCCATTTTCCATTTGAATTGCACCCAGGATCAGTTGCAGCCACCTTACGGTAGGACAAACTCTGCTGTCTGTTACATCACACACTAAAGGCGTCTGCACTTTCCCTGGGCTTGAGGTCCAGGAACTCAATGGGACTTTGTTCTGTGTTGGATTGTGCTGTAAATGCACATTTTAGCCCTTCATTTAAACACTTGTAAGGAGCTGAGCGCACCACCCGATTTGTTCCAACTACAGGAAATGGCTGTCATTGCCTTCCAAGTGATGTCAAATATTTAGTTACTAGCCCATATAAGTAAACATAATATATAAGGTGGTGCTTGTGGCTTCCAGTTTTCCATGATGCGGATTATGATGTTTACCTGGGAGGCAGGTAATTCCTTTCAGTATCATGTGGAGAGTTGTTAAGCCAGGGTAGAGTTGACTTTGTGATAAACACTCTGACTTATCCGTTTGTCAGGGTGCCTGGGTGGGAGAAATGAAGGGGAAATATGTTTTCATACAGAGGCATTTCCTTGAATGGTTTGTGAAAGGCAGACGATTTGTTTGCAGATGTTTGGGTGGGGGGGGGAAAGAATTATGACTGCTGAACTTGAAAATGTTGTTTTCATAAAGTCACGTGGCAGGGAAGTGTGGTATCAATTCATGCATGAGGGATTCTGCCTCTACATGCACCCCAAACAACAACGAAATATTTTGGCAGCAAAAAATAAACCTGGAAGATGAAGAAATAGCTGCAGGTGTGTTTCACTTCAGCTCCACCAGAGGCACTTTACCAATACTGTATGATTTTGTGGTCAAAGTCTTTGACAGCCTGGTGTCTTCTACCTGTTTTGGACTACAGCTCAGCCCAGCACCTCTGTGCTGGCTGGAGCAGATGGGAGCTGTGCTGCAAAAGAGCTGGAGAACACCCAGTGGGAGAAGGCTGGTTCCAGCCGTAAGCAGGGGCCGTATGTGGCAATGACCATGTTAATGTAAACATATGAAATGGCATTGAAAGTTATAGATTAATCAAAACCTTAACGATTGGGTGTGGTTTAGCTCAGTGGATAAAGCTACAAGAGGTCTGTCTCTGGGATCTTTAATGACTCCCAATGTCAATTGCAAACAATCTGATGACCTGCACCTTCGCTTTTTCCTTCAGCTCAAAACCTCTTGGAGTTATGAATTTAAAAATTACTGAATGGGTAGTCCCTCCTTGGGTACATAGGAAGCTGGCTCATACCCATTGGCCCAACTAGCTCAGGACACTGACTGGAGACAGGGTTGCTCTCAGACCTGCAGGCTGCAAAACATTTGCTCTACGACTGACTGACATCCTTTCCCATCCCCGCCATCAGTTCAGCCCCTTAGAGGTATGAATAATAGTTGGTTAAAAACAAACCAACAAACCCTGAAAGGCTACACGGGTTGAGGGGAAAGGTGTATATCCTTCAGGGGGTCAGTTATAAGCACACCCACCCAGTGTTACTTAAAAGAAGCAACAGTACATATTTTCCCCTTCTTTTTCCAGGAAAGGGGAAAAAGAAGGACTCTCCAGACGGGGCAGATATCCTTCAGAGCCAGCCAGTACCGCTGACGGTGGAATTCCAAATGCAACATGTGAAATGGAATTCAGCTTCACAAATCCTTTTACATTACAACATGTCAGAGTAATTGTTTTGTGGGGAGCAGAGGTTGTGCTTTTAAAAAAGCTTCAAGGGTGAGGGATGTGGATTCTCAAGAGCTATGTCTACCTGCTGTGGGAAGCTGAGGTTGTAAGGGCAGGCAGTCGCAGCAAAGGATGAGCCTTTATAACACACATCTGCATCTTTGGCCTGACCTCAGAAGTTTGACCATTTGGCTCATCCTGGATGCAGGGAGCATCACTTTCCTGTGGAACACTGAAGACCTGGTGCCTTTGGGCAGAGGGCAGCGTGGCAGAATTGATTTATTTGCAAATGTTCCGAGGTCCAGATGCAGAACTGTCCAAAGGCAGAGTCGGCACAGGTTCCCCATCCCTCCGAAAGGTTCTGAATAGACAAGAGTCCCCCACCCATAAGCCTTTCTGCTTCCAAAATCCAAGATCAGCATTAGTGGCCAAATCCTGCCCACCCCCTTTCCCCAAAATAAGAGACAATAAATTTGATGGGACCATTGGCTTAAAGAGAATGTACCAACAGTATGTCGTCTGTCTTTGATTTTCAGTTTAGCCTCTAAACTTTTGTAAGGATCAAGGGAATAAAATCTTTAACCATCTATCAGCAGCCAATATATGCTCTTGTCTTACTGTGTGGAAAGTTTAAAACCTGCAAATATGGACACCCGAAAGCCTACGTAAATGCATGTGTGCTCTCTGTTCTTTATTTGTGCCTGATAATTGACACCCCAAAGCCTGCAAAAGCTTTACTCAACAATAGCTCAACAATTTTGTCTTCAGCATCTAGTACATTTCCCACACCAGCAAATTGCATCATTGTGACTTTTGGGACTACTCTGGACATGCCATCTGGCTAGCAAGTTTAATAGAGGATCTTTGGTTTGGTGAAATATGTTCTATTCACCAACCTGGATTATTAGTTCCATTTATCACAAAGCAAGTTTTTTAGACCTCATGGTTTCAGAGATGCTCAGAAGAAAACTGAATAGCACTTGTGATAGTTGAGATAGAGCTTCTGTTTACTTACCTCTCCTACTGCACCCTGCCTCTCATGTATTCTGCAGTTTGTGAAAAGTCTCAACAGCCCACCTGGGGTTTATAATAAATGTTAACTAGGAATGTTTATGTGATTCACATTGTTTATTTTGCAACAGAAAATCTACGCTTCCCTTGAATTTTATTTATATTGGTCTACAGAGACTGGCCAGTACTCTTTGGCTTTTGCTCTCCACTTCCAAAATCAAACACAGCCCCTATACTGTAGGGCAGCTTTTGTCAAGCTGGTGCCCTCCAGATGTTTTGTACTACAACTCCCATCAATCCCCACAGCTGTAGGGAGCTACCTCTGCACCCGCATCTCTCTCAACCATTTCCCTTTCAGCCTCCCGCATCAAGGTGATTGGCAGAAGGGTGCATTATCTTCCTCTCCCTTCCCCTTAAGACACCTTTGCATTTGGGGAAGGGCTACAGAGCATTTGGGAGAAGGAATGCACTGTACTTTCAAATTTTTATGCTGTGTGATGTTATATTTACATTGTGTGATTCTAGAATAATGTCTTGCTTTGTGTGAAGTGCCCATTGAGAAGAAGGCCTTGGCTATAGGCAATAAGCTGAACTGACAAGGACCCCCTGCCCCAACCCTGAGGCTGCTGCAGCCATAGTGCCGCATGGGCGGACTCTGTCGTTGCTGTGGTGACCCTGGCCTGGAGGCATCCCCGAAAGTGCCTATTGCGTTTCCCCAAGGGGGTCCGTGAAGGGCCCACTTTCCTGGGGAAAGGGGTTGCAGGGCAAGCCGAGAGTCTTTCCCGACGTGGACCTGTTGGATTTCTGCCTGCTAGCCATTTTCTTTTGTTACTTGTGGTGCTGCCCGGCTGCCCTCCGTTCTCAGCCTTTCCCAGATGGATGGTTGCTTCCGCTCTCGGAAGCAGCTGCATTTAATTCAGAGGACTGCCCCCACACCCGCTTTGTGTAGAAGGGTGACGATGACATATTTGTGAACACGTGCAACATTGTAGAGTTCCTTGAGCCTCTGGACCTTGACAAAGATCTTTTTGCTGGGGATGTCATCAGCAAAGCCCAGCCAATCAGGGGCACCAACACTAAGAATTTTATCCCAGTCATTGTATCCGGCATCCTTCTATCCACACAATGCTGGTGGCGGGGGCTTTGCCATGTCATGGCTGATGGTGCAGCAGCTGCAGGTGACTGCAGGACACTGAGCTGCCACCAACAGATGATGTCTTTGTTGGAATGTGCTTGGCCAAAATGGGGATCATCTCGATGCACCACCCAGGCTTTAAGACCTTTGAAATCCAGGCCCTTTGATCCCTGCCTGTACAAAGAACTGATGATTATACACAAATTGAACCCGACGGAGCTGTGGGTCGTGTGGACGTTGCTGAAACATGACAACCTCTGATGTGCCATGTCAGAAACCATAGGATTGATTAAAACTACCAGATTGAGACTCTGGTATATATACCTGGTACCTTTGAAGATGCAGACATTTATTTCTTTATTTAATATACATCCAGTCCACCCTCACGGTGCAATACAAGCAAAATAATCCAAATAAAACAACACAGACAAACTACTTCCGGGTATGAGCAAACTGAACGAGCAGCTAAAAAACACAATAGCAACAGTTAGAAGAGAGATTTGTGCAGTGAATACAAACTGGGTGCTGTTGCACTTAACTGGGTGTCCATATCAAATTTCGCTTACAGTGTCTACCGAGGATTTACTAATTCACTGCAGGGGCCGCTCGGCGGAGCGAAGCGGGTTCCTTCCAGAGATACTTGAAGAAAGCGAAGCAGCTCCGCAGCCACCGTCCACTCAAGGCCGCCGCCATCTTGGTTCGCTCACGGCGCAGCGGAAACACGTCATCGCCTGCGCCACGGCTAATACCATAGAGCTGATTTCGTGAGGGGGGGGTGTAGCCTTCCACGCCCCTTTTCTTCTACGAGAGTCCTGGCCTTCACGTTTCGCGCCGTCGCCTTTCTCAGAGGCTGTTCTCCCCCCGGTTGGATCTATTAGGGATTTACACAGCTAGAACGACAACAAAAATCCTCACGATTGGGAAGCTTCCGCCTCCTCTCTATCGTCACTTCCGCTCTGGAACGGAACTGGTCCCGTTTGTGTTCACGCGAAGCGGGAAGGAGAAGATGCGCACTATAGAGACCCGAAAGTGAAGAGTGGCGCGCTTCTGTGCACACGGCGAGCTTGCTCCCCGCCCGCCCCCAGAGGCCACGTGCCTCCGAGTCCCCGGCGCTGGAAATCATGAGCGAGATGGAATTGGCGTCCGCGAGAACAGAGCGCCCTCTGGCCTATATATTATATAGAGCACGTCTAATATATCATTATTATATACTATGTATTATATTAGTGCGTATATATTATATATTATATAATATATATTATATATTATATATTGGTGACAATAATTTGAAGGTATTTTTTCAGCCAGTTGGAGTGTTTTTCCCTGGCTTGGAGTTTTGATTTATTTCGCAACACAACCAGCCTGGCTTTCTCTTGTTTCCCCGGGGTGGTGGGCGAGTGGGGGGTTCAGGCACTGGGGGTAATCGTGGTGGTGGTGATGGCAGAGGTAAAAATAAGGGGAGGGGGAGGTCACCCCAATAGACAGTGAAAGGCGATCAGAAAGAAACGGGGGATATACAGTTAGAAGAAGAAGAAGAAGGGGTTTGCCCCCAACAACCCCGAGGGGGAAAAAACTAAATAAAGATATAGGTCCTTGGGGAAAACCCTCTTGGGTCAGGGCTCCTCCATGGGCGCCCCCATTTTCACCCTCTGCGCTCACCCATCAAAGCAAACCCCTCAAATATTTTTTTTTTTACAATAGAAGAGAAGGACCAAACCGAACTAAGCAAAACAAAACAAGGCAGCACAAATTGCAGCACGGTTGAATTTGGACAGGGGGTGGGGTGGGGGTGCAGTCTGTGGCAGCAGCTGCCCTAGACCCGGGTTTGACAGACCTCTTCATCTATCTCCTTGTTTGTTCCAGGAGTTAGGGTGGACTTTCTATCCCTTCAGGCGTCCGGTTTTGGGGCTCCCTGGTGCGATACCACACCCCTGGGTCCTGTTCGATGGTGGGTGGCCTGGGAGAGCACTTGAGATGGCTCCCCCAAGCCTGCTATCTCCCCCAACTCTTATGATTTCATGAACATACGGAGGGCCAAAGGTTCCTGACCCCTGGTCTGAAAGGTTATTCCAGTGGTTCTCAAAGGGTGTGGCAGGAACAGGGATTTTCAGCTCTTGACAGATGTGAAAGATCAGAAAATACAAAGGCTTATTTGCGTTGATGAGGAGATGAGAGTTTGTCTGTCTTAAATTAGACCTAAAACTAAGGAGATTACCTGGCAAAATCAAGCTCTCGCCTCTCATTGAGGTTGTATGCAGACTTAAGGTACATATGTAAGAGGCTCGTTTATAATTATATTTTGGGAATGACTTGTGTTCTTATGGCTTCATTGTTTTTTACTTTCTGGATGTCCCGTGATCATATTACAAAGTAGTTGTGTTCTATGTTATAAATCAAGCACTGCTAGGAGTTGCCTCTTTTTGTGTTCCAATGTATGTATTCTTATCAATAAAAAATTCATTGTGGCCCGAGCAAATATTTATTCTGAAAGTGTGGTCCAGAGAAAAAGGTTTGAGAACCACTGGGTTATTCTGTAAACATAATAGGTTAAAAAGAGAGTGACTTGAATCCCTGAATCCCCCTACAACTCTTCTAGTTTTCTGTGTTCTTGTAAACATTTTTAAAATTGATTTTATATACTGCCCTATACCTACCCTATACCCAAAACATTGTACAGTGGTACCTCAGGTTACAGACACTTCAGGTTACAGACGCTTCAGGTTACAGACTCCGCTAACCCTCGGTACCTCAGGTTAAGAACAGTTTCAGGTTAAGAACGGACCTCCAGAACGAATTAACCCACTGTACTGTATTGTGGGTTTTTGAAAAGTCTGTTCCATCAATTTCCACTGTTCTTGTGAATGTGAAAACAGATTTGTGTGCCATCCGGGCCTGGATTGTTGATAATTGACCTGGTTGCCCTCCATGTGGGTTTTTCTGGACAGGTGCCTGGGCTCACAGCGACTATTGCAAGATCAACCCCAAGACAGGAGGCATTGTCATGCTTGGCTGCAGGTATGCCCATCCCTTTGGCGTGATCATATGTGAGGGGATGCTTCGTGGCAGTTAGCAGAGTGGCATGCTGTGCACTTGTTGGCTGGGAATACGGGGGCACAGTGTCAGCCTGGCTCTGCTGGCTGGCTGACGTTTCTGAGGCTGGGCCAGGAAATTTCAGAAACTCCCCCCACTCTTTTCTCCCCCTCTCCTCTGTTTCATCATCCTGTGGTCTTCGTCAGGTGGCACAACCTTTCCTTTGATGCAGGGCTGGCCCATGGCATACTGCTGCCCGAGGCAAAACAGCAAATCCCTCCTTCTCCCCCAAGTCAAGTTGCATGGTACCCAGTCCAATGCCAAGCAAGTTGCTTTGGCATCTAAGGCAGGCTCTCAACTCTCAGCCCCAGCCAGGTTGGGGAAGGCTCTTTAATATCTTAGACAGACATTCTTTCTCATCATTTGCTATTTAAGCCTTTTACCTGGAGATGCCATTGTAGATTATCTCACGAAGGAACACCTGAGATACGTTTCCAAAGCCTCCTGGAACTTGAGTTTGAAAGCCACTGTGCTGCACAGGATAATTTGAAAAATTGCTTAAGGAAAACTCGTGTTTTTGGTAAATGAGAGAGGCTTCATGATTTATTGTGAAGTTTACACCCTGCCCTTCTTTATAAAATGATCCCAGGGCAGGTCACAGCAACAACATATAAATACGTTGAGGTCACATTGAAAGATAAAATGAGGATTAAACACCACAACAAATTACCGTTCAATAAAACTAGTTCTTCATTTGTTCTGCTTCAGGAAACCAACCTGACGGTTGCTCAAAGAGCCTGGCGGACAGGAATAGGAAAAATCTGGTCCAAATGTGCGTGGTTTTAAGGTCCAAAATTAAATAGCCTTATGTTGTCCCTTTAATTGACACTCCCAAAGGAGGCTCTTAACAACATCAAAGGAGGCTTGCTCCATTA